CTGTGTCAGCAAGATAGTGATGGACAGACGGGCGAAATTCCTAGCTGACGAGGTTCAGAGTGTGTTCAAGAGAGCTGGGGCGAGAGTTTCGATAGCCACTGCCTACCACCCACAGTCGAACTCCCCAGTAGAGAGGGGGCACCAGACTCTGATAGCGTCACTATCCAAGTGGTGCAAAGGTAAGGACAGTGATTGGCCACAATATTTTTGGTACGCAATATGGGCGGACAACGTCACGGTCCGGGCTAGTACCGGATACCCACCGTACACCTTGTGGTTTGGGCGACACTGTCCGCTCCCCATAGAGTTTCACGTCGACAGCTGGACAACCGTCGACTGGGCGGAGGAGATGTCCAGAGAGGAACTCATAGCTGCTCGAACGAGACAGATAGCCTACGGTTTGGAAGATAACCTTATGACAGCAGCAGATCGTCTGGCGGTGGAAAGGGACAAAGGCAAAGAGAGATGGGATAAGAATGTGCGAATTAGGAAAGAGAGGTTGAGCGTAGGAGATATGGTCCTTCTCTACAACGCAGCACTGGAGAGGACCTGGACCGGAAAACTCGCCAACAGATGGATGGGACCTTACAGAGTGATTGAGGCACTCGACTGGGGTGAGTATATGATAGCAGAGTTAGACGGATCCAAATGGAAGGACCCAGTGGCGGGTGCTAGGTTAAAACTGTTTAGACCCAGGGCCGCACCCACCTTATCGCTGACAAGCCCGAAAGGGAAAGGAAAAACCAGAATGGAGGATGGAGCCCCCTTGAGGCGATTCGAGGCAGGGGAGAGTTTCAAGAAGAGGAAAGAGTAGAGAAAAGGAAGGTCAAAGGGTTAGTTTTAGGAAGAGAGAATAAATGGTTATTCATGCTCAAGAGGGCTAGACAGAGAGTTCCCGTTAGACGTACTGGCGGGTCGGCACCCTTCCCGGGGCGAAGACAGTAGAAAAAGAAGATCGTCCCGATGCCAAAAACCGGAAGAAACAGGAAAGTCAAGAAACATCTTCTTAGCCCCATGACTCATAACAAACTGAGACATAAGACAATTGAACGCCGACGTAGGCGTCCTTTACGGGCCATGACCCTGAAGCTCGTCCTATTCGTCTGACGAAAGTGGTTAGGCTTCGACGGGGGCATTGAGAAGTGGTCCCGGCTAACTGTCAGGCGGCCACAAGCAGTGCGCCGCCTGAAATCTACGGTTTTGGGACTTAGGCTCAAGGGCAAGTCCATGTTTTGACGGTACTCTGGTTTGACCGGGCAGCAGGAATTAGGGGAACTCAGGGTACCCCTGATTCTGGGCACACTGAACCTTACGACTAACCCTCAACGATAGTGAGATGGGTGGGCGCACTCGGCATATCTAGAGACCGCCATTTCTAGCCGTTCAGAGGGTTAGACCAGGATTGGCCTGCCGCGGAGAGGCATCACGGGAACTGACCTCGCCGCAACGTTTTTGCAGCATACGACCGGGGCCGAAATGAGGCCTCAAATTTTTGTATATTTTAGTACCATAATTAAAGAGGGGGAAAAGGGATTAAGACAAGTAGGGGAGAAGGGAAAAACATAATATCCTTTAATTTTTTTATTTTTCCCGGCATTTAAATCTACGGGGAATACCCTTATTATTTTATGTTCCCGGCAATGGAATTAAAAACATAGAAAAATATTAAAAATGGTAAAAGAGAAAAGAAACAAAAAAAATTCGGCCATTTATTTAAGCTTCCTCAAAATTTAACTTTGGGGATCTTACGGTTAATTCACTATTTCCGACAATAGAATCAAGGAAAACGAAGAATGATTAAGAACAATGAAAGAGGACGGAAACCCCATAACTGATGGGTGATTGGTCTAATCTCGCCTTGATTACCCGCTATCAGCCCTGACCCTAGAAAGGTCGTTCTCACCGGATTTTAACAGTCTTCACTTACTGCCGATGGTCGAGATTCCCTGCGTCACTTTTCCTGTTTTGCTTGATTACTAACATACCGCACTTGAGATGCTCTGAGAGCGGGAGTCGCATGGACAACATGGGGTGGTGCTACCTTGGGCCGACGGTATGGTACATAATTGTTATGGGGAGGTCGCGTCCTACAGTAACCGACCTGCACGTGGTTCGGTATGAGGACGGTGTCGTTTTGTTTCAGGGTAGAGACCATCACGGTGTCTTATTTTCGGGTCTACAGCCGGTGTAGTGATTTATTTCCAGGACCGAGACCGCTGAGACAGTTATTTCAGGCTTGGGACCTCGGCGACAGCTTGATTTCAGGTCCGTAAACGTTGCGGCATTCCATATCAGGATCGGGACTATCACCGTGGGTTATTTTCAGATCAACACGGATATTTATTTCAGGTGCGGAGACGACGCAGCGACTTATTCCGGGTTCGGCATTACCAATGGCGGCGTATTTCAGCGCTGGCACCGTTAAGGCTGCCTACTTCAGGTCCGGGGCAGGTTTGGTATTACCTACAGTACTCAGTGTGGGTAGGCGCGACCTCATACTGGGACGGTATATTTCGGGGCCGATACCGTCACGGACTTTTACTTCAGGCTCGATAAATGCGTGGCGTTTATTTCAGGTCTGAGACAGAATGATGGCAATTCAGCTTATCTGATGCGGTACAGTGGCACATCTGAGGGACGGCATGGCACCTCCGGGCCGCGGTGTGAACCGCGGTAAGCAACTGACACGACGTGGTTTCCGTGAAACACAATGGCTGCGCGGAGTGGGAATTTCGATTACTGGATCAGGACGTGCTGGGATGGGGCAGCTACAGCGCGGATGCAATGGTGCAAGGACTACAATCTGGCCTAGCATCCGAATCTGGACTTTCGCTAAATTGCGGGTCTAAAGGCTGGTACCTCTGGGGGAGATGGGGCCAGTTCCTATTCCAGGCCAACGTGGCGCGACAGGCAGAGAAAATCCACGGTGCTTGTGCTGCAGTCGTCGCGCACAGAAGGGGGGGCCACGAGTGGGTCTGAATGGGGGAGGGCCCTCGGGCACACGTGCAAGGGATACCCGCCTCAGCTGGTACGAGGAGGAGTCCAAGCCTAGGCGGTTGCAGCAGCCAGGGACGAAATGGCCCGGGGTGGACGACTGTGCCCGGTAGCATATGGGGAGGAAGGTTGGACTGAGACGGTTATGCATTCGCAAGGAGACGGCTTCAGCATGCAAGGTGTACGCAGCGGCCTGCATCAAGGGAAGTGAAGGAGCGGACGGCGAACGGGCGAGCGAGGCGTTCTCCGCCCAGCTGACCGCACTTGTAAGAAGCCAGTTGGAAGGAAACGGGGAGAGTGTGCATGGCGCGCCCTACTCGGATCGCTGCTTGACGTTGACAGGGGAGGTTGCAAGAGGGAAAAACGAAAGCGAAGCGTGCACGTCGTGCACAGTGCCCCTTGTACCGCCAGTCTGATTGTGGCTGCGACAACGCTTCTGTGTTCTCGATCAGCCACTTGATTGAACGGCGTACCTAGAGGGGGTGAGATTACGGACAGCCGTAAGAGGAGAATCCAAAGCGAGTGAAGATCCGGACCGAGCTCAAGGAAGGTGTGTTTGATGTGTCCAGTACAAGTTTGCGCTCCTATCAGAGTCCAGATGGTTGGTTGACGGGAAGGTCGAAGAGAGACTGTAGACCATAGCCGGCGATTCTTCCGCAAGGATCGAACATCCTGAGAGAGGGGAGGCTCGGTAAGGACTCGAAGTATCCGACAAGATTCGTGACGAGCGTTCATGGTATAGAAGATTCGGATGCACAGGCAGCTTGCGGGCGGTTTTCGAGGTAAGGGGGGGGGCTACCCCGAAAAGAAGGACGAATACAAGCAATTTGCACGGGCCTTGTAAGCCCGTCTCTCTTCTGCGCTATAACGAGTGCTAATCTGGCCCAAAAATCGAGGTGAATACATGCAATTTGCACGGGTCTTGTATGCCCGTTTTCTCTTCTGCGGTATTACGAGTGCTAATTTGGGCCGAAAAGCGGGGTGAATACATGCAATTTGCACGGGCCTTGTATGCCCGTTTTCTCTTCTGCGCTATTACGAGTGCGAATCTGGCCCGAAAAGCGGGAGGAATACATGCATTTGCACGGGCCTTGTATGCCCATCTCTCTTCTGAGCTAATATCAAGTTAATCTGCCCCGAAAAAGGGGACGAATACAAGCATTTGCACGGGCCTTGTATGCCTGTCTCTCTTCTGTGCTATTACATGGAGTTTGTTGGGACTTGATATAATCTGTCCCAAAAAGCGGGACGAATACAAGCATTTGCACGAGCCTTGTATGCCTGTCTCTCTTCTGTGCCATTACATGGAGTTCGTGGGGACTTGATATACACAGGTATGCCCTGCGAAGTGAGGTGGATACATACAGAGTGCTGAGGCTTGATTTGCCCGTCTCTCCCCCGGGCGAACTGTTGAAGCTTGGTACGCCTGGTTCCGTCCTATACGATTAAGAGCGTTAATCTGCTCCGAGAAGTGGGTCAAATACATGCAGAATTCACAGTTTGGTAACCCGCTCAAACAACTCTAAGAAGAAAGGCTGTATTCAGGCAGAACAGAGCCAGAAGAACCATGGCCTTCCTCCTCTGAGTGTTACCAGCGAAACCCCCTCAACTAGCGGATAAACACATTGAGTGGGAACAAAACCCGCTTGATCATGTGAACTAGTTACAGAGCGGGAAAGGAAGAGGGACAAAACAATGAGAGAGAGAGAGAGAGAGATAGGGGGAGCGGCAGGAAGGCAACAGAGAGAGAGAGCGAACAGCGAAGGGGGAGGGAAACAAGGAGAGAAAGTGAGAGAGCTGAACTGGGGAGAACAAATATGGGCGGGTGACATTGGACTTTCTTTGGATTGTTATTCAATTTTATTTATTCTGAATTTTTTTTTATCAGAATACTTACCCTAAGTTCGGAGGGGGCTACGGAAAGAGGGACTTTTTACCACGCCGAATGTAACTGTCTGTAACCCAGATTCGACTCCAACTTAGACCTGTAGATTCACACGCTGAATGCTGCTGAAAGGGCTTTGTTTGACTTGCTGCAACTTCTCGCTCTCCCCCGTAAACGGGGCCTTGTCATGCTGACCGCACAACTTATTGTTTATTTGCCTTTTTGAACTCCCGATGTTCTTTGGGCTCAGACTCCAGAATGAACTGGTGAAAGTTTTGTCTGCCGTTGAAAAATGAGCTGGGTTATAGCAAGGGATTTCCGATGCTCAGGGCATTTCCGAGAGGGGGCGTGACAGCCAAAACGAACTCCACTAACCCTGCTGATCGCTGAAGACCTCGGAAGCGGGCACGGCGAGTGACAGGCGTCGTTGCCCTTGGCTCCGGCGAACGGTAGGCGACCCCTCCCCGGGTTTCCTCACACTGGCGCAACTGGGTGGAAGGCCCACCGACAAATCTAAGTCTAAGTGGGTCCCCATCTCCGAATCTGAAATCCCAACCCCCCTCTCCACACCCGGGGTCATACCCGCTATAGCCGGATCGAGCTCCTCCGTGAGGAACTGCTGCATGAGGCGCTCGTCATCGCCCCTACGCTGCACCTCGGCTTGTGCGGCTATCTCCTCCTCCACTGCAGCTGTCGACGGTGCCTCCTCCTCCTCCACTGCTGCTTCCACCTCAACCTCCACTGCTGCTGCTCCTCCACCTGCTCCTCCTGTTGTTGCCACCTGCCCCTCCACTGCTGCACCTCCTCCTGCCGCTGGTGGATCCTCCTCCAGCACTGATGCTACCATTTCCTCCAGCACTGCACTGCTGCTGCTGCTGCTGCTGCTATCTCCTCCACCGCGGCTGCGATCGTCGCGTCCGGCACCGCCGCTGGTGCCGTCGAACTCTCCACTGCTGCTGCCGAAGGTGCCCCCTCCTCCTGCAATATCCGCGGGGAAGGTGATCGTAACCTAAGCTGGTGGACTGCCCCGCCTCTGTGGAGAAGGCCGCACTGAGGCAAAGAGGACCCCAACTCCTCCCTGTCCGGCTAAAGTGGCGAGACGGGCGATGGTGGTGCAAGACTCGGAGCAGGAGGTGGCGGTATGGACGAATTCCGCCTCGTCGGAGTGGGGGTCGTCGCCTGCACCTCTAGGTGACCAGTGGAAGCGACCTCACCGAATGGGCCCCATAAGTCCTCGTTTCCCCCCAGCATCTCCCTCTCCGCCCGGTCCGCCGCCCGTCATGCAGTGTGTGCCCTCGTCTCCTCGGAGTTAGGATCGTCGTGCGTCTCGTCGATCTCCCGGGGAATGCGGAGCGCACGGTCATCTGCCGCCTCGGGTATCGGCTCCTCGTCTGAGTCGTCCTCCCTGGGGTAGGGACGAAAAATGCAATCACGTCTATCGAAAACGGCATCAGCCGAGGGTGGTGCGGACGCCCCGATGGGATCCCGGGTAATAAGTGCAACCTGACGGGCGATCTCCTCCTCCGTCATCCTCCTGCGAGTCCCCGAGCGCACAGGCTCCAACTCGAGTCCTGCCTTGCAATCCAGCATGCCCACGTCCCGCTGCCATGGCAGCACATAACCGCATCCAGCCCGCTCATACTCAGTCAACCGCACATTTGCGGTGATCTCAACGAGTTGCACGACCTTCTCGAAGGCCAACTGGTTGCGCTTCTTCGTGTGAATGCCCTTGTGGACTGCCCAGTTCCTCTCTGCTGGAGAGGCGCAAGACCACATGTGCATCACCTGAAGAGCGCAACGCTGCAACTCTGGCGCGCCCGACCCGAACTGAGACCACCAAGACCCGCACTCAATTGTCTCGCTGTCGCCGTTGTACGCGCGCCCACGAGCACGCTCCTCCGGCCCGCCCCAATCCCCGAACCTGCCCTGCTGAATGTGGAAGTCCTCAAACTGCTGACGTGCAAGGATGTACTCCGCACCCTCCAACTCGAATCCCGTCTGCGTCAGAATGTACCTCTTGGCTTGCTCCACAAGCCAAGCATCGTACCGCTCCACCTGCCCCGAAAAGTAGCGAACGTGTCGCCTGCGGGGGTTCAGTAAGAACCCTGCGCAGTGAGCCAGCTCAAGCATGTGCTGTGTGCGAGCCTGCACACGCCTGATGATCTGCTCGGCGAACGACTTCCCCAAAGGGGCGCATGCGACCGTGACACGGCGGACAAGATCCTGCGTCCACTCAATCATGAGGGACATGTACTGTCCTCCACGATCCATCCGCCTGAGCAACTCTATGACGGGCTGCATGATATGAACGATGGTGGCCACCCTCTGCCACCATGGATCCCATCTGATCTGTCGGCGCACCCAACACGCCATGACGCACACATCGGCGAACCACGAGATGGAAGCAAAAACCCCCGTGTCGTCCCCTCGCATCATGTCCTGCAGAGTGTCCTGCAGGGCCAACAGCCTCTCCAGCATGGAGTACACAAACGCGAACCGCGTCTCGCAAGAAAGAATAAGCCCCTTGTCGGAGCTGCGCGTCCTAAAAAAATGAAGGGCGGCCTGGTGGGTTTTGAAAAACTCCACCAACACACGAGCGTGTATGATCGCGTCCACAAACACGTCGCAACTCGTCCCCATATCTTACAACAATTTGTTGCAGACATGGACGGAGCACGGGAGCCAAGTGATCCTCCTCAGTGCAGGAGGTATGGACGGCGAGGTCAATGCCCTCGCAGCCCCCACATAGGCAGAAGCGGAGTTAGTGCATATCGCATTGATCCGTTGCGGCCCGCCGAAGCTGAACTCGTGGAAGATGGTAACCCATCTCCGAAGGACGTGCGCTGCATCGTCCGCCTCGCCCTCTCGATTGATCGTCGTGTACACGACGACCTCTCGAGAGCCAGCAGCAAGGAAATTCATGATCGGTCTCCCGTCTCGTGATTTCTTCCCATCGGAGAGGAGGGTGGCACCAATCACCCAGAATGGCTGCCTCACCTCCTCCAACTCCTCCGCCAACTCCGCACGGTGGGTCTCCACCGCCCGCATACTCGCAATCTCGCAGTGGTTGGGGAGCACTGCGCGCTGGGAACTGCCAGGCTGCTCAAGAAGCACCTGTTGATATGCCTTCCACGCCTGGTTGCGGAAGGCATTGAAGGAGACCCCGCTGGAATACAACCAGCGAAGGAATGCCTTCTTGTGGCGAGCAACCCACTCGCCACCGTAGACATCAGTCACCTTCTGCTGGCGAAGCCTCTTCCCTGCTGGGGTGGCAGCCGGATCACTCCCTCCTTCCTTCCTCTTGGAAGACCCCTCCGTTGCAGCTCCCTTGCCTGCTCGCCTCCGCCATTCCTCCAACCTCTCGCTAGTGCCCGGATAAACCTCAGGCACGTCCTCCCGTTCCGGGACTCCCTCCTCACCCGGGCCACGCGCCTCGCCATCCATGTGGATCACGCCCTCCTCCGTCTCACCGCCTCCACCACCCAAAGTGGGGTCTGCCGCACCATGCCCACCATCTCCCCCGACCCCTCCCTCCGGCGGACGCCGCCCCGCCTCTCCTCCCCTTGCACCACCCGTGCCGGGCACATCGAGTCCGCGCTCCGCCACATACCTCGCAACCCTCTCCATCTGATCGGCCTCGAACTTCTGCTGAGTCCGTCGAGCAATCTCGTACAACGCCTCGTCGCTCACGTCCTTGCAGTAGTTTGTCTGCAAGAAGTGCCTCGTGGCCTGAAACTGGGTCCCTTGGAAAACTTTGTTGCAAAACGTGCAACGGAGCATCATGACCCCCTTGTTGTCGACCTTCAGGCCGACAACCAGGTACCGATAGACAGGGGAGCGGGCCCAGAATGTGTCCTGCACATGGTCCGCGGCAGCCTCATGCTGACGGCGCTGTGCCCTCCCCATGTCGGTCACCCTGGTGAGACAACCCTCACTGAATCCCCCCAACCGCACCACTGCAGCCCAACACCCCGTTAACCGCTGCCCGCTGCAGGGTCCCCTTTCCGCTGCAATCCAACCCTCCTTGACCACCGCCCGCCTAAGGGTCCCCCGTCTACCACCCCCCACAGACTCCCCCGCTAGCATTCGGGAACGCGCGTGGCGGTTCTCAACCATCGCCGCACACTTCGCTGCTCCGCCTTCGTCGCACCGGCGCCACCGCTCCGCTGCGCTCCACTGCGCTCCACGCTCCGCTGCAACAACTGTTTCTCTCTCTCTCTCTCTCTCTCTCTCTCTCTCTCTCTCTCTCTCTCTCTCTCTCTCTCTCTCTCTCTCTCTCTCTCTCTCTCTCTCT